TAATAATAATAATAATAATAATAATAATAATAATAATAATAATAATATAGATGGGGGGACATAAAACCCAAGAGAAACAAGTAATGTGCAGTATAATTGCTTACCACTCACTGACAGATGCTCAGCTAGTCCCTGAGCTCCAATCAGCCCCTCCCAGCCAACTCCTCCCAGTTTATATATGGGGCATGACATCCTGTAGTATGAAATATTCCCTCGGTCAGCTCAGGTCACCCATCCTGACTGTGCTCCCCCTGCCCTCAGCTTCTTGTGCAGCTCCTCACTGGCAGAGCATGAGACACTGAAAAGTCCTTGACTTAAGGGAAGCACTACTTAGCAACAACCAAAACATCAGTGTGTTATCTCATAATTCTCATACGGAATTCAAAACACAGTACTGGACTCAGAAAAAACCAAACTCTTTCCCAGCAAAAACCAGGACAACAGGCTATCATACAAACAGACTATGCTAGATTTAGCATAGTCTCATCTTATTCCCACCTACCACACAAAGTGGGAGTAAGTATGGTTTCCTAATTCTAGAGCCACTGAAAAAGTGGGTTGAGTTTGTTCCAGTAAAGAAAGCTACAGCCAAGTGTACCACACTGCATATTTTATTATATATATACCACAATGTAATATACCACATTGTATATTTCAGATGGGATTTAAACCAATAGATTGATTTGAAACAAGGAATATTTATTCCGGGGCAAATAATCAGGGAATTATGTGGGAGCCTGCGAAGAAAAGAAAGGCTCCACATTGTTTGAAACTTGCAGTTCAAGGTAAATTGAATGACCTGATGGGACTACAAAAATAGCACTAAGCCAAATGGTGAAAAATTATGGAAAAGTTTGGGATATCACATCACCTTGTCATTGTAATGGCCTGTGAGCCACAACAGCTTCTCACAACTCATATGATTTTGAGCTATGCCTGGAAGTAAAATGATTGCCTAATGTTTTAACTGAAGAATGTATACAGACCCTATCTAAACACATGGAAAGTGTTTAATGACGTTATAGCAACTCAGATGGGAAGGAATGCTCAATGCACGAATACGCAAACAAGAATAAACCAGTACTCTGAAGAATGACAAGGAGGAAGGAGAGTTTGTTCCATGCAAATTTATGGTCTAAACTATAAATAGGATGGACCAGATCTAATTATAAACAAAGCAGGACCTTATATAAATGAAGAAAAACTCATGAATGGAAAAATGTCTAAATAGTTCCAGTTTCAATTTTAATTATGGAAAGGTAAATAAGTCAACAAAAAGCAAGAATTTTATGTTATAGATGTTGTTATTACAATTTAAGAGTCAGTAAGGGAAGTCAGAGCAGAACTATTGCTAGCAGAAAGGCTTTTAAAAGAAGCAGCATAAATTAATTATTAGGTTTTGTCTGAGTGAAGTTTTCATGTGTTTATTAATAATTACGTTAGGTTCAAATTTGTGAATATTTGCTTACATAAAAAGGCAGTAGTAAGCATCCTGCTTTTTGTTGATAATAGACCCTACCTCCAGTAGCAATGGAAAACTCTTTTGTACCACAGATCATAAAAATGTAAGATAAATGTCTCCACTGCTTTAAAATTGTGGGAAACAAGTATGAGGGCTAAACAATAGCATCTATGTTCCATGGTGCCAAAAATAATTTTATGATTTTAACAAAAGTCTCTGATTTAAAGGGCTCTCTGGGGGCTTGAAGCACATACAAATTAACCTTGGATATTTTATTTCTACCTACTTGGCTAAAAATCAAAAGAATGTACAGCAATTGTGATGGAACTTGGACAACCATACCAATTGATATATGAGCAGAGAACAGCAGAGATGTTTAAACAAAGTGTTAAAATCAGAAGCGAAGTAGAAAGCGAAACAATCAACAAAAAAGAGAGGTCAAACATTTAGTTCACGGAGTTTTACTGTTCGTGCGGTTAACCAAAGTTTCCAGAGAAAATTTACCATTTTGGGTATACAAATACAAATACTACTTTGTAGCAACAAAGTAATAGAGTGCTTATTGCTGTGAAGAAAGTTTTACTTTGACTTTTCTAAGACTGAACAGATATGCTGCTTTTATTAAAAGGTTATTTGTAACATTGATCCAGAAATGGATTCCATGTGATTGAGTCCAACATACCAAGAGGGTTGGATATAATTTTAAGGGAGTAGAAGTTGTAACTGGAATTTTAGATACCACTTCTCTAAAAGCTTTAAGTAGTAAGTGATCAAAACTGGGGCATATTATATTCAACATAAAAACCCCATGAAATAAAACTATGTATAAGTAAATATTTGAATGTTATTTACACAATATATTTTTATTAAATGAGATTGTACAATGTCATATGGGAATCAAAAAATGAGTAGAAATAGTAAAAATATTGGTTTTACAGAAAGAAAAGTACTGGAACTCAAAAGTGCTACTAACATTGTTAAACTACCAGTAACAGTAGATTCTGCAAGCAGTGATCACGGGGACACAATTTATAGGACAGTCAGAGTGTAGGATGGCCAAAGTTTCAACCACTGAAATGGGATAGAGATGTGATTTTAGAAGAAATGAAGGCCAAGATGCTATACAGAAGGTGGCATAGAGATGATTGTAAAACAGCACATGCACAACCCACATTGCTATTGCCTGAAGACATGTATCAGTCACTGCACAGGAGCTAAGGGGCACTACTCATGGTGTATTAACAGATTCAGAAATGTGATCATAGTCACTGAGTCCTGTCACAGAGGAATGCTGTCCAGAGAAGCCCCCACTATGGGAACAGAGCATTGCTCCTATGATAGCAGTAGCTACTTGTGTGTGGACCTAAATAGTTAATGATTCTAGGACCTATGACACCAGATACAGATACATGTTATTGTTTCTCTGTATTTATTTCAATATAAATCACCATAAAACTGTGCTCTGTGTGGAGAAACAGGTATGCAAGATTTCTCAGCTATATAATTTAGGATAGACATTTGTAATGTTCGCCTATACCAACAGAATTATAATATCCAGAACATCACCAGCCTGGGGCTAATTTGAAATCTTTATGACAAAAACATTAAGGAATCATGGAAAAGAGAGCAAACAGATAAAAAAATTTAATTAATAGACAGCAAGCAGTGAGAAGACATAGTACTTTGGAGACTCAACAGCCACTTAGACCAGGAAAGGATGAAGAAACACTGTTACAAGAATTACGTGTTCTTTTAACCGTAAATCATTACCTGTGTATTAAGTAGTTGTCTTTTTATTACAGGTTGCAATATACCTTGTAATGTATGACAGAAGACCTGGGGCTATCTGGAGCTACACAACTGCAAAAGAACTGTATTTTGCAAGAAAATCATGAGACAAGACTGGAACAAGGTGACACTCCACCTTCCTGCTCTGAGGCAGTACTTAGCCTTGAGCCAGCAGAGCTTGAGACTGTGGGTTTGGAATCACAGAGTCACAGTATGGTTCAGGTGGGAAGGGACCACTGGAGGTCATCTAGTCCAACCTCTCTGTTCAAGCAGGGTCCCCTAGAGCATATTACTCAGGAGTGTGTCCAGATGGCTTCTGAATATCTCCAGGGAAGGAGATATTCCCACAATCTCTGGGAAATCTGTTTCAATGCTCAGTCAGTCTCACAATAAAGAAGTTCTTCATGTTCAGGTGGAACTTGTGCATTAGTTTCTGCCCATTGCCTCTTGTTGTTTGGCACCACTGGGAAGAGTCTGGCTCCATCCTCTTGACACCTTCCCTTCAGATACTTATAGACATCAGTGAGGTCCCCTCTTAGTTTTCTCTTCTAAGGCTGAATAGGCCCAGCTCCCTCAGCCTTTCCTCATAAGAGAGATACTCCTGTCCCTTAATAATTTTCATAGCGGCTGCTGGACCTCTACCAGGAGCTTTGTGTCTCTTTTGTCCTGAGGAGCCCAGAACTGCACGCAGCACTACAGATGTGGCTCCACTAGGGCTGAGTAAAGGAGCAGGATCACCTCTGTTGACCTACTGGCAATGCTCTTCCTAATGCACCTTGGAACACCATTGGCCTTCTTGCTCACAAGGGCACACTGCTGGCTCATGGACAGCTTGTTGCCTGCCAGGATCCCCAGGTTCTTTTCTGCAAAGTTGTTTTCCAGCAGGTCAGCCCCCAGCCTGTCCTGGTACACGGGGTTATTCTTCTCCGGGTGCAAGACCCTGCATTTGCCTTTGTGAAATTTCAAAATGTTCTGCTCTGCCAATCCCTCCAGCCTGTCAGGGTCTTCTGAAGGGCTGCAGAGCTTTTGGGGGGATGGGTCCTTCCAGTTATTATCATCAGTAAACTCACTGAGGAGGCATCTACCTCTTCATCCCTGCAACTGTGCCACTGATCACAACCCTGTGAGGTTGCCATTCAGTCAGTTCTCAATCCACCTCACTGTACACTCATCCAGGCCATTCTTCCAGAGTTTGCAAGGCACAGGGAATTGAGTTGCCATCCCATCACTGACAAGAGGCTTACCAAGGCAGAAGACTTCTATGAGTAAGAGTATATTAAGCATGATATAATCAGTATTTGCTTGCCTTGAATCCAGACATAAATACACTAAAGCAGCAAACCCAGCAATAATGAACTAGCATTTTGTAACACAACTAATCATATGAATATATTATATATGGAACCAAAAAGAGACAGACGCTTGGGGTATATTTTCACAAAAGGGATACAGAAAAATATCATCAAGTAATAAATCTAGAAAATAAGAACTAAGGATCCAGAATAAGCAAGAAAGAAGTCTGGCAAAATCAGAACAAGTTCTAGTCCTATAAAAAAGAAAGAAGTTAAACTATTGATAGCAGAAAATATCCTCTGCTTGTTTTGATTGGGAAGGGGTGAAGAACACTAAAACATCAAGGATGAGCAAGGAAGAATGGGGAGAAAAACCATCCACTTTAGTTCTATCCTTACCGAAGAGCTCTCAAATCTGACCACCCCAACATCAGAAATTCAGGCTCTTGAGAACCACCACAATAATTACCACAGCAGACACATAGTTGCAAAAAGGGGTCTACTGTCCTGGATGTGTAGGAAGATAACACATCAAGGTTTGAATTGCACACCTGTGAAAAACAAAGGACCTTAACTTATATTTTTACCTTCTATTATCTGATCAAATGAGGCCACCAAGTGGCAATGTAAATATTTTAAGTCACAAAAGAAAAGTGTAATAACTCCTAATAACATAACTTTCAAATATGCAAAAAGACTAATGAAGAGAGATGAACATGGATTAAATTTTATGTGCCATGACATAGAGCAGTAATCTCATTTATGGTTCACAAGCATAGGTTTCAAAAACTGTCTTCCAGTGTTCAAGTCATGATGCCTTCAAATATTGTTTTCCTATTCATTTCAGGCAAGCAACCTCAAACTGACTTGCAACAAGTTTTAAACCTCACAGATTGAAATTTACACCCTTCCAGTCCTAAATCACAAACATGCTTCATATTTCAGTGGCTTTTTTTTTGGCCAGTTCTACTATGATGATGTCATTTGTAAAATTCAGCTTTTGTTCTTATCCACCTTCTGTTCATGCCTGTCACTCAAGTGTGCTCTAAAGAGGCATATAGTACTGTGCTTTCCTCAACTGCTTTCACTCCTTCCACAGAATTAAGTATCAGCAGGATGGAAAAAAAGAAGGTGGGTGGAATTCCATTTTCTAAAACACCCTCAAACATTTCTTTTAAAGTCTCCTTTACAGATTTTTTAAGACATAAGGATAAGTAATAATGCCAAAGTGCAAGATATAAATAATCGGACTAATTTACCCAATCTGATAATTCATGTAGGAAACAGGATTTGCAAAAATACAACCAGAATTTCAAATGATACCTACCATGTTTCAGTACAAAGATATTGATAAATCAAATATACATAGATATACAGATATGCTAATAAAAAAAAGCACAACAAAGCAAAAAAAAAAACAAAAACAACAAAAATGCCCAAATAATTTCACACCACAAACTTTTAAAACAGCAAGCATGTATGCCTCTTACATATACACAGAGCTAAGCAACTGACTGAAATTCATGAGATGGGCTCCAAATTATCTGAAAGTACAATAGTGAAATATATTACATTTCATACTATATGCGCTATAATCAATTTCTGTTTTGCTCCTAACTGAGGGAGTTTTATGTGATATCTTCATATCAAGTTCATTTTCTCCTACTCTAAATCACAATACAGTGTTAACTTCTTGTGGATTAACCCTGGCCAGCAGTTAAGGCCCACACAGCCACTCATTTACTTTTGCCTGGTGGCATGGGAGAGAGAATTGTAAGGTCAAAAGCAAGAAAAATTGTGGGCTGAGTTAAAGACAGTTTAAAAAGTGAAGTAAAGCAGTGCATGTAAGCAAAGCAGAATAAGGAATTCATTCACTTATTCCCATCAATAGTCAGATTTTTAGCCATTTCCAGGAAAGTGAGGCTTCATCATTCATAACAGTTACTTGGGAAGAGAAATGCTGTAACCTCAAATGTCCCCGCTTCTTCCTTCTCTGACTGAGTTTTTACCACTGGACACAATGCCATATGGTATGGGATATCCCTTGGGTCAGTTGGAGTCAGGTGTGTGGGCTATGTTCTGTGGAGGTCAATAAAGCTAAGTTGATCCCAGGGAGGCAAGAAACTGGAATCCTTTATTCGTACAAAAATGGTATTTTTATGGGTCTGGGGTACTACACGTTCACGGCGGGGTTGGCATATTTATCGGAGGGTCAGCTTATTACAATTGGGGGCTTTACAGAGATGAGGTAAAAGGCAAAAACCCAGGTTTACAAATTTTGGGATCTTAACACTTACATCATAGGGGAAAACCCATTTTATCTTAGGGGAATTACATGAGGGGAATAGGTATTCAAGTTTACAGAATGTACAGGATTCAGGTAACACAAAGAGAGAGATAGAACACAATAGGTCTTCTGCAGATGTTTGATAATATCAGGATATGGTCTCTCTGGCTTGGACAGGGCAATCCACACTGGTGATGTCCCATGTGCTTCTTAAACTGAGTTTTTTTCCTCAGCTCTCGTAGCCCAAAGTCTTTTGCTGAGACCGCTCAAATTCCTTTCTGCAGATATACGAATTCGGGATCCAGCAGTGTTCTCTCACAGCTTCTTGTGCAGCCACAGCCTCCTCACTAGCTGGGAAGTGCAAGAAGCAGAGATAGCTTTAACTCTGTATAAACACTGTTCAGCACCAGTTAAAATATTGGTGTGTTACCAGCACTGTTTTGGTAAGTAATCCAAAATGCAGCACCACACTTGCTGCTATAAAGAAAATTACTTGTCCCTGCCAGACTCAGTACACAACTTGTAGAGTAAGTTTCAAGTGGAACTAAACCTTGCAAATATTTAATTTGTTCAGAATTGAGGTTTTAAAGTTGCAAACTGTACTGAGTCAAACTCACTAAGAATGCAATAAAATGTTTGACTTTTAGATTTTATTTTCCAATGTGCTTATGTCTTCAGAAAATAATTCAAGCGAATGAATTATGTCAAATTTGATAGGGGAGCACTTTTTAGATCAACAATATCCTTACTGGAGTTTTTGCACTTGTGTTTAAAAATCATCTTATTATTGACTGAAAGCCAGTAAGTCTGGAGAAGCACTTCTGAGTCTTTTGTTCTTTGAGATACAGCAAATTTCATACAGGCATTGCTTCTGTAGATCCAAATGTATTTTGTTCATTTAATATTCCTCATTGCCACTATACCAGTCAAAGCTGTTCTATTTATTCACATAGTGAGACTTCAAATTCCTACTCCAGCAATATTGTTTCTGACTATTGTAAGTAATGCATTCCAGTTTCACAAGGTTGAAATATAACAGGAGTTAGTTCCCAGTAGGTTTGGTTTTGTGGGAGTTTTTTGTATACTTTTTTAGAATTCACTCATTACCCATGCCCATGCCTTCTTTATGGACTTTCTTTAGTGAAGCCACGTACTCTGGCAAACACAACTATTAGTATCTTATTAATGCTTTAAAGCTAAAAAGCTTGTTATAGGTAACTGGTGGAAGTCTGTGCAACAACTCACATGTACCATTGACATGGTACATTTACATTATGCATTCTGTATTCAGAAACTTGAGAACCGAAAGTACTTTTTCTTATGAAATTAATTATAGGAATAATTCTAGAATGCAACTATCAAATGTGAGTCAAAATAGTTGTGCTGATTTTGACTGTGGTAGAGTTTATTTTCTTCATAGTAGCTAGTATGGGGCTGTGTTTTGGATTTGTGCTAAAAACAGTATTGATAACCAGAGATTTTTTTAGTTTTTGCTGAGCAGTGCTTGCACAAAGTCGAGATCTTTTCTGCTTCTCACAATGGCCAGCCATTGTGGGCTTGGGGTGCACAAGAAGTTGGAAAGAGACACAGCTAAGACAGTTGACCCCAAGTGACTGAAGGCATGTCTCAAACCATATGGTATCATGCCCAACATGTAAAACTGGGGGAAAAAGAAGGAGGGGATGTTCGGAGCGGTGGTGTTTGTCTTTCCAAGTCCATTACATGATGGAGTCCTGCTTTCCTGCTGAACACCTGCCTGCCTATGTGGTGAACAAATTCCTTGTTTTGCCTAGTTTGCATGTGCAACTTTTGTTTTACTTATTAAAATGTCTATCACAACCCATGAGTTTTCTCACTTTTACTCTTACGTTTCTCTTTTCCACCTGACTGGGGAAGAGTAAGCAAGTGGCTGCCTGAGAATTAGTTGCCAGCTGAGGTTAAACCACAGCAACAGTTTAGGCAGGAAGTGACCAATGGGAGTAATTTTTCTACCTGCTCACAGCAGGATCAACTTTGAAGTTAGGACATTCTGATTCTTCATTCAGTTAAGTTTTGAGTATCTCCAGGAAAAACATCATTCAGCTGCTCTAAGCAATCCATTCCAGCGCTTTAATGTCCTTGCTGTAAATTTTTCACATCTATCCCTTATTGCTGCACATGACAATTGCCCCTTGTCTGTTTGCTATGCGCTCCTCAGAAGAGCCTGTTTCCTCTATTCTCCCATTAGCTAGTTGAAGGCAATGAGATTTTCCCTGAGTCTATTTTCTTACAGGCATTAAAAATTCAGGAGTTAATACAGTAAATTTCCTGACAAATTTATTGAGCTTTCCAAGGCAGTTGATGATATTCAAATTATTATTTTTTTCTTCTTTTGAAGTCTTCCAGAACCTTTTTACATTTTCTGCTTGGATAAAGCAGTAGTAGAAGATAAATTATATTTGAAAGAAAGCAATGATTTTTTAAAAAATCCATTTACTTGAGGACTAAAACCTATCAATATTGAAACCTAAAGCTTGGCCCAAACAGATAAGCCTGATTTGATCTTAAATCTCTTTCAAGAACAAATATAAAAAGTTGCAGTTTCTGGGAAAAAGGCAGAGGAGAAGAACAGAGAAGATACTTTTGGTTTTGATATATGCGCAAATAGTTTTCCTGTTGTTTGTTGGGTTTTTTTTAGGGTTTTCTTTGGTAAAGTATCAGTGATTATCCAGTATGTTTATCATCAGTTCAAGAACAACAGACCTTCCAGCTGAAATTGCTCATCTGCAGAGATTAAATCTACTTCAGCCTCAGCTTGAACTTAATCGAAAGATCATTCAAGCTGCACGAATCTCTTAACAGAAGCTACAGATACAATGGGCCTCAAAAAAGACTCCGAGAAGCAGAAAGAAACCTGAAGGCAGGCTCTTCACTTCTGAGAAGCAACAAGTAATGCATTTCCCCTTGATAGTCTGAAAGAAAAAGCAAAAAACAACAGATAGTTTCAATCTTGTACTAGTAGAGCCATTTAAAAAAAAAAAGTGCTACTCTCAATTTCAATGTAGGAAGAATTTCCTCCTTCAGGTTTATCTGTGCCCCCATTTCTTTTATGATGTTTCTGGACATGGGAGGAAGAGAGGCTGGGAATAGAATGATGAACTACCTTATAGTGAATTTGAATAATATGCTTGGGAAAATATCCACCCAAGCAAAGATGAAGCTTTACCTTAGGGAAGGTAGAACAGTTTACTTACCATTTGATATCCAGGTCAATGAACATAAAGATTAGTTCAAACTTATTCAACTCCATATCAAGTAGGGTAAGAATATAGCATATCAAGTAATATATGATGAACTTGGAAGGTTTGGTGTTGACACTTGAATCTATTTAGGAAATATCTTCTGATGAAAAAAGTTTATATGTTACTACATTTGAAAAAAATGGTCATCCATGTGCTAATCTACTTTTGAAAGTTCCTATGTCAACACAACTTCTCATCATGTAAAGAAACTGGCAGTCAGTAACTGGACACAGTTCTTGTTTGACAGAATCTCTTAGAAATAGAAAATCTACAGGTGATATCCTCAAAAAAAACATAATTCAGGGGGGATTTGCATGTCAATAAATAGATTTTTTCATATTTTTATATTATATATATTAATAGGAATTGATAGGTTGGAATTTAATAGACTTTGTAGGAATATCATGTGCATAACACAGTAGAATAAAGAGTTGTGACAAAATTTATTTCACCATTCATCCTTGTTGCAAATAAATTATTTTCTTAAGCAGAAACAAAATTTCTTCCCATAAAGGAAGCACACCAAATCAATCCATACAGCTTCACACCTCCCCAGCTATCCTGCCAAATCTACTCCTTCACAGCCACAAAATGCAATTAGATTACTGCTAGGTTTTCTTCAGAATTGTATCATCCTGTCTTCCAGTGACAGGAACTTCATGCCATTCTGCATCTCATGTAGAACTTGACACCAAGGCAAAGCCAGAGCTCTTCCAAGCATGCTCAGAAGTCATAACTTTGTTCAGAGCTTTACTTTGGTGTCAGAGTGCATTCCCATTTCATGCCCATATTCCTACAACTATGGCCTCTAAAGCTTACATATCCCATTAGGCATTGTCAGGCATTGGAATGGACTGTCCAGGGAGATGGTGGAGTCACTATCCCTGCAGTGTTCAAAAAGCTCTTAGTGCTACAGTCTAATTGACAAGGTGGCGTTTGGTCAAAGGTTGCACTCGATGGAGGTCTTTTCAAACCTTAATGATTCTGCACTTCTATGATTCTAATTAATGACTGACAGCACTTTTAACTTCGCAAGCTACAACGGGGAAGTTCACACATCTTAGACAGCCACCCGCTAGAAGGAGGAGAAACTGATAACCATTAAAAGAAGACCACGATTTCACGGACGTTTAGAGGGCTGCAGGGCTCGCTGAGGGTCCTGAAGGACGGCCGCCCCCACCGCCCTCCCGCCGCCTCAGGTGCGGCCCCCCGCCCGCTCCCGCTCCCGCTCCCCGCTGCAGCGCCCCCCGGCGGCAGCGGCGGCGGCGGCGGCGCGCCCCCCCCCGCAGTGG